TCCAGTGTGGGAGCCACAAGCCACCGGAGGCTACTGAGCACCTAAAATGTGCCTAAGTCTGAATTAAGATGTGCTGGAAGTATAAAATCCATGTCAGACTTCAAAGGTGGAGTACAAAATAAAGGGAAAATATCTCAATAATGTTTACACTGATTACATGTGCACATTACATTTTAGATACATCAGGCTTAATAAAATGTTAGTAAAATTAATTTCATTTGTTTATACTTTTTAAAAATATGGCTACTGGAACGTTACAAATTACACATGGGGCTCACATTACACTTCTACTGGACGAACCGCCCTAGAACTTGATGTTAACCACAACTGCACCCCTTCATAACATCACTTTTAAAAGCACCCTACTCTTTGACTATGCCAACTCCAACAATTTCTTGGCCCTACCCCTTGAATCTAGTGACCCCAGGGCCTCTTGCTGCCCCTCATCTCCCTCCTGCTTCACTTGTGCTCCCTGCCTGGCTTAGAGCTCCGTAGCACTCCCCTGGCAAGATCCCAATCCCGGGTTAGATCCAGCTCCCCGCCCTCTCCTGGACTGCCCTGGGGCAGCAGAAAACACAGCTCCTTGAAAGTGCCTGCTCAATGCCCTATCCTCCCATTTTTGCTTGAACCAGCTAGAATCAGTGACATCCTTACCCTTTCACTCGTCCAGCTCTTATCAGTCACCAGGGACCTCCGTGCTGCCTGACCCAAGGTCAGTTCTCAGCAGTATTTGACACAGAGGATCACGCTCTCTGCTTTGAAACACTCCTCCCAGACACCCTGCTCTCCCGGCTTCCTTCCCTGGTGTTCCTTCTCATCTTCTGCCCTTTCTTCTCCTCCCTCCTCTTATCACTGGGTATCCTGTGCTCCATGTTTGAACTTCTCTCTCCATCCACTCTTCCTACAGGATTTCATCTAGCCCAGAGCTTCAAGAACCTTCAATATGCTGAAAACGCTAAAGGGTCTAAACTGTGACTGCCTACTTGACACCTTCACTTGGCATATTAAAGTTAACATATCCAAGAGCTCCCTCCTCAACCATCTCCCCAACCTGCTGCTCCCCGGGTCTGAGATCAGTGAACGGGAATTTCATCCTTCCAGTCGCTCAGCGCAAAAACACTGGCTTCATCCCCAACTCCTCATATTTACAGACAACCAATCAGCTCTTCCTTTGAAACACATCCAGCATTTGTCCACTTGCTGCCCTGGTCCAAGCCACACCAGCCCTTGCAACAGTCTCCTCACCGGTCTCCCTGTCTCTATCCCTATCCCCCTAAACCAGTGGCCAGCAAACTTTATCTTAAAGAGCCAGATAGTAAATATTTTAGGTTCTGTGGGCCAGATGGTCTCTGTTGCAACTACTCAACTTGGCTGTTACAGCTTGAAAGCAGCCTCAGACAATACGCAGACGAATGAGCATGGCTCTGTGCCAGTAAACTGGAACTTAAACGGACACTGAAATCTGAATTTCATGCAAGTTTCATGTGCCACAAACTATTATTATTCATCTTACCTTTTTCCAACCATTTTAAAATGTAAAAAGCATTCTTAGTTAGCTGGCTGTACAAAAACAGGCAGCAGGCTGGATCTGGCCCTCGGGCCATAGTATGCCAACCCCTGCCCTAGGCTACTCTCTGCACTGCATTCAGAGTGATCCTTTTAATCACGTCATTTTCCTGCTCAGAAATTCCTGCAGGGCTCCCCTTCTCATTCAGTAAAATCAAAGAACTTAGCTCGACCTACAGGGCGGTATGGGCTCTTGCTCCTGACCACCTCATATGCTCCTCCCCTGCCCCGTACCCCTCAGTGCGACCACGGTGGCCTGCCCACTTCTTTTGCTATGGCCAAACCCACATCCGCCCCGGGGCCTTGGCTTTTGCTGTTGCCTCTGCTTGAAATACTCTTACCCCAGATATCTACATGAATCATGTGTCACTTCCTCCAAATCACCTGAGGAGAGACACCTGCTAGTCGAGCCAAACCAGGGCACAGCGACACCCAGGAACCCTTAAAACGGTCTGCCGTGCTTCACTATTCTTCGTCACACTTACTCTCATATGATGTTTATTTCTTCATTTAGTTAGAGATTAACTGATTCGGCACTTTTTCAACAGGGAAACAACAGCATGGCGTCCGAGGGCATGACACCTGGAGGGAGACGACCGGGGCTGGAACGCCGGCAGCCCCCAGGACCAGCCGCGCGCACCGAGTAGCTATTTTTACCTCTGTACCTCAGTGTCCTCATCTGTGAAATGAGGACACGAACAGCACCTCCGTCCTCAGTGTTCTGAGGCCTGGCGAGTTAATGAATGTAACTGGCACACAGAACACTCAATTCGTGTTACTTGCTTTCTGTTTATTGTTTGTTGCCCCTTCTCGCCAACCAGAAGACAGGCTCTTTGTGAGAAATGGCTTTGTTTTGTTTACTACTTTATTCTCCTCACCTAGGACAGTGCATTCCGTAAGTATGTACTGAACAAATGAATAAATGTTTGAATATGTCAGTCTCGGAGAAGACAGAACACTCCACCACCCCCACCACTACACAGATAACAGGGAGGGCACAAAGCTTTCCAGACACCCACCACAGAAAGAGACACAAAAACCCTGCGGTTCTAGGGGGGTCTGCTGGTGCTTCTGTGCAGAACGCTGAAGGAGGCACACCCGCCACCCTCTGAGCAGCAATAGGGTCACTTCACGAGAAACCGCCCACAATTCAGACCTGTGCTGTATACTCAGAGGTCACATGTTCAGGTCTCTAACTGGATCAGAGAAGAAGCAGACTGCATAGTCAGGTTCAAACTCCGCGTGTAAAATGCCAGCTTAATACCTCAGCAGCGCAGTCCCACACGGGCCCGACAGTATCTCCTGGACACACGCGTGAAAGACGGCGCACTCAACGTAGCTTACGTTTAACTGACTTCTAAAAACAAAGAACATCTCCTCAAATGAAAGTCTTTCCCGGGCAAAAAAGGTGGTAAAAGTACTTCCATCTACGCGTCACACATACTCATCACTCACAACCATCACAAGGATCAAGGACTTGACAACTCTCCTAAGGCAACCGAGTTTTGATTTATAAATGGTATTAAGATGACTTAGAGCACCTCTGAGTTCCACCATTCTGTGAATTGGTCTTTAATGGGAAGATGCTTATACATGGCCTGGTGTAACGGCTCTCCTTCCAGTGAGAAACCCTTCTTCCTTTAAAGAAACAGGGACGATAAGGTCCCCCCGCCATTAAGCAAAGTAGACAACTTCTCTCCTGATCCTCTAGACTAAGACGTTTCACTGTGAAATACGAAACGACCATCTTCAGTGTTGGTTTGACCAAACAGAGAATAAATGAGTGAGACACAGGTGGTGAAAACACACCTTTATCAACCAGCACAGAATGCGGGTGTGTAAGTGCCCACCTGCACTAAATGCCAGGAAGTCGTGTGCCTGGGTAAGTAAACGATCATGACGAAGGGTAAGAAACTGGGGGTCAAGGAGCGGGTGAACCGCACGAGGTCAAAGTGAACTGCCTGCCCGCTCCTGCTGACAGTGACACCACAGGGCAAGTGGCAGGGACTCACTAGGGGAGGTTTTTCGCAGAAGTGCTAAGACCTGAGATTCGTCTTTTCCTGTCATCCCGCCCAGCGGCTGCTTTGTTTTTTAATTCTGCAGTTGGTTGGTCACTGAGGTCACGGTGACATAGCACAGAGGACACGCATGAGCTGGATAGCACACGTCCCACCTCTGTCCTGAGCTGCTACACAGGGGCAGAACCTGAAAGTCAGGATGACAGCGCTCTAACTTAATACGGTATTTAGCCGACGATCCTAAATAACCCTTGGTCAGCTTTTGTGATCTAGCACAAAACCACATGCCTTGTGATACACCAGCTGGGCTGCGGTAATGCCCTTGACTTGAGGCTTAAAAGCTTTGGTTGGGACATAACTTTGATGTATTGAATTTCCATTTCAAACTGCAATGATTATCCCTGGATTTGGCATCACAGAAGGTGCTACCAAAATTAGATTATGGCTGGTCAGTAAGACTACCTCTCCCCTCTGGGCACTCCTAGGAGGGCTGCTACTCTGCTTTGCTTGTTTGCAAGATCGAAAAGCCATGGCTGTTTGGTTTACAGGATGCAGGGATAAGAACCATCTGCCTGGTCTGGTGTTTCTTTAATTAAAACTTTAATTACAGATATATCTCTGCACAGATACGTGCAGTCTATCAGCTCCTGTTCTTAATTACCTGTGCTAATGAGAGCTGAAAGGAGAGGGAATGTTTGCTGGGTGTCTCCTACATGCCAGCACCTGTGACAGACACCGGACATACACCAGAGGAGGTCACGGAACCCAGTGTCAAACAGCCGCCACAGGCTGCAACCCGCCCTGCCTGGCCTCTTCCCATCGCTACAGAAGAATACAGAAGGCCTTCGGGCTTCTCCCTCGGGAACATGAAGGGCTAAGGGGTAAAACGCTCTCAAGGACCAGCAAGAAGAGCACCGAGGGCTGGGTATCAGGCTGACTAGTCCGAGTCCTGTGCAGGCACGTGTGCTGTTGGCCTAGCACGTGGTCCCTTCCTGAACCCGCCCACAGACACACGTGGAAAGTCTGGTCTAAGTCCTATGACTCTGAGGCGTGTCGCCTGGAGCCACGGTAACCAGGGTGGCGGTCTCCCAGCGACAGGAAAGGCACAGATGAGAACAAACAGCAGGTGCATCCTGTGCACTAGCCCGCAGCCGCCGTCTGCCTCAGCACAGCCCCCGCTGCCAGGGCAGGCTGTCACTGAAGGGCAAAAATTTCTTTCCATACTCAGACCCTGTGTCTCAGTCTCCTTACTGCCTCCACAGGACCTGCTCAATACCAGCCCGCTCGACCCACTGGGCGGGGGCCACACACAGCTGCTGGCCGCCTCAAAGCACACTAACCTTCCATCATTCGTTCACTGAGAGGGGAGGTGACGGGAGAAATGCAGAAGGGGGGAGACTGGCTATTTCTCCGTCATCTCCCAAGGCCACAGGCACCCATGACATCCACGTGCTCCAGCGCTGGATCTGCGCCCCTCCCCGGGTAGCAGGTCTGGACCGGCTGAGGGCCTCCAGAAAGGGCCTGCCCCTCTCAAGAGCGGCTCCGCCATCACCAAAATGACTTCAGACTTCCCAGCTCCACAAGCTACGCAGCAGATACACTAAAAGCCGGATGCAAGCGCCTCTAGCACGGCCAAGCCCATCACATGGCCCAGATCCCGTCCTGGTCAGTGACGGCGTCTCAAACTGTTACGCCAAATTAGCTACATTTTCAAGATAAACCACTCCACTTAAGAGTTGTGGACCACACAAAATCTGGCAATTTTCAGAGTGATTTGGGGTAGTGCCTCCACCTCTGAAAGACAGATTCTGAGACAAATCAAGACACGTCAACTGCTGGGGACACCCACGACACGGTGCCAGGTTCCTTGCAGGATCTCGAGTATGTTACAGTCTGATGACAGATACACCCAAAGCACGCGGTAGACGATGGAGAAAAAGAGAAACAGAGGAAGAAGGGGTTGGGGAGGAGAGGGAAGGAGGCACGGAGAAATAAACGCATACAAGAGGGGGAGAGAAAAGGAAGTGAAAAAGTGAAGCAGAGAAGAGGCTGCCTGTCTGCTGCCTCATTTTGCCCCACAAGCACTCTCAAACCTGGTGTTTGTGGTGGTCAAATGCCCACTCCCAGAGGCTGTATTCTACAGAGAGGACAGCTGGACTCCTCCCATAGAAAGGGTGCTGGTTACTTGTGGGTGAACTACCAAGCTGGCCCACAAAGGCCTACTTTAACTTACAGTGAAGCTAACTATAGAATTAACAGCACTGGCCCATGTTCTGGAAGCATGGGTCCCCATGTGCACGCATTATTTATACTTTTTTCTTGCTTATAACATAAATGCCCTGTATTTCTGCACCTACTAATCAGGGGCTCTATGCTAAAAAAGCCAGCCGAGTCTGGGATGGGACCAGTGTCCCGTTATTTTAAGTGATCCTGATGTGCAGCCGAGATCAAGGAAGGGCTGCCATGAGCCCCTCAAAGCGCCACATGAAGGATGGGCCTTCCTGGTGACGGTGGCGGGGCGTCGCTGGAGGCTGAGGGATAGGAATGAGTGCAGCTGAGGCCCCCGCAACCAAATGGCAGAACTTCCTGCCGGGGTGCGGCCAACTTTGCCAGCAAACAGAAGGCAGCAGGGGGTTAAAGCCCCAATTCTGCAGTTTACTCGGGGTGTGACCCTGTGAGAGTGGGTTTAACCTACCCAAGCGTCAGTGTTCTCAGCTGTAACACAGGGTTAGCAAACACCACCGACCTCACAGGTAAATCCAGATGATGATATGGAAAGCCCCGGGGGAAACACGACACACGACAAGTGACTTCCCTCCCACTTCTTCTACCAAAGACGAGGCACTGCAGCCTCTTTACACAAGGTAAAAATCTCCCAACAGTTCAACGCTTTCTGACTCCTTGAAAGCTTGCTGGACAGCTTACTGATACTAAAAGACTCATTAAGCGCTGACTAAGTAAAA